CATGATTTCATGGACTTTTCAGTGATTGGTCGATCGGAGCGAGGTTCATCTTTCACATCAAAATTTCCAGTACAAAAGCGAGCGAACCATTTCCGTGCTGCTGATTTTGATAGAGTATTTTCCGTAAATAGCACAAATTTTTTCACAAACCTGTGCAGCGTTCTTGCCTTTATCGTAGTAATACTGCAAAATGTAGCGAATTTTTTCCTTATTTATTTCCGAATTTTGTCCTTATTTATTTCCATTTTCAAAACAAAATAACTTTTGATCCATTTCACCGATTTCAATCTTTTTCGGCTCAAAACAAAGATTGAAATGTCACTTTTTAAACGCACGTCTAGTGTTGTCGATGCGATTAGTAGTTACCGACTGCTGAGCATTTAATACTATCTAGTGGGAAAAACGCTACGAATTTTAACCCACACCTAATATTTTATTATATTAATATTATTTTATTTTATTTTTTTAATTTTTCTAATTTTATTTATTTTATTTATTTATTATTTTTATTATATTTATTTTATTTATTCATTTAGTTTATTTTTTATTTTATTTTATTTTATTAATATTATATTATATTTGTTATATTATAATACATTCTTATATTTATATAAAAACGCATTTATTAAATTACAAAACAAATTTGAAATACTTTTTTCGATAGTATGTTTTTAACCATTACGCATGTGAGTAACATGCCCCAATCTGACCACTTCCACCTTCTGAGGTCAGACAAATGAAGCGTACTCTGAATTCAGTGCTCGAAATTAGTTGCCCATTTCGGACAATTTCTGAGGCGGTGATTCCAATTACGACGTAATTACAGGAAGTACAAATTAGTTCGGTCCATTTTCCAAAAGATGGCTCTGGCTGTTGTGAATGTGTGGCTATTGGAGTGACTGTGCAATATGGCGCCGATGGTTACCAACCAAAGGCGAAGGAAATCAATTGGCGGGGAATCGTTAGGTTGAGAATGAGTGCTACTCACTGCTTCTAATTTTTATGCGATTTAATACAAACTTAATATTAAACTAACTAAATACTAAATACAAATATATTAGGGGTACAAATAAGTTCGTGTGGTTTTTTCTCGAAATTTGGAGTTTTATTGTGAAAAACCGGTTACAATGTAATCAGAGTCACTTCCAATGATAATGCAAGCTCATCTTGCGTTTGACATGGATCTTCATCGAGTAATGCCTCTAATTCTGCGTCTTCAAACTTTCTTGGACATCCGGCACGCTCTTGGTCTTCCAAGTCAAAGTCACCACTCTTAACCGTGCAAACCACTTCTGACACGTTCGCTCAGATAGAGCATGGTCACCATAAACTTCCACTAAAATACGATGACTTTCGGCAGCACTTTTCTTCATATTGAAGTAATGCAGTAAAACTCCCCGCAAAAACACTTTATTTGGTACAGAGTTCGACATATTTGACGAAGTAAAAATATTGTTTACAATTCGAACAAATGACACATACTGAACTTAATACCTACTAATGACAGCTATCCAATGCATACTTAGAAATACGGAACGGTGGAATGAAACAGTAGTTACGCCATCTCTTTCAAAACCGCACGAACTTATTTGTACCCCTAATAGATTAGAAAATAGAGACGTGATTGCGCGTGTAAGACGACTCGAATACCGGCATTGTGTCGCGGAATTACAATACAAGAACTATAAAAATACACTCTAAGTAATTATCTGACGACGCTAATAATTATCACAGACATGAACAGTGATCAGGTCTCGCGGAATACACAAAGTAATTCGGAACCTTAACTTCTGAGTTCTAATTTACAGACTATCGCAGAGACTTACACGAGGTCCGCATGCGGCACGCCATGACACCGGAGAGAGCGAACGGAAGAAGAAACGGAAAGAATGACTACATCAGCGCCGCGACGGATGCATGCAGCGCCGCCACTGGCGCTCGCCGTGCCGCCGCTAACGTTCGCAGCGCCCGCCCACAGCGCCGCGACTAACGCTCGCAACGCCACAGTATTCCCCTCCCAGTGTAAACGTTAAAAAAAGAAATACTGATTAAAATATCGCTAGAACGAGAATAACAAAAAAAAAATAAATGAAACAAACAGAACTTATACATACTGGTTTGCTTAACGTAACATTGCGCAAATTAATTCTTAAAACTAATAGTCTTTTGCTTTGTTGTTAGAATATGTTTTTGGTTCACCTTGCACTAGAATGTCAGTTGAAGACGAAGATGCAGTGGACGGAGTAGTTCTTGAGTCCGGATTAGTACATACGCGGGCTTAAGTCTGTCGACCATGATTGCTGGATTTGCCGTCGATTTCAATGGCGAAGACTTTGTCCGAGATGCGCTCTAGCACTTTATGCGGTCCGGTATATAGTTGGTCCAGAGGGCGTCTGTTGCCTTCAACTTTGCAGAAAACGTGAGAGCAATTATACAAATCTTTGTGGAAAAATAGCTTAGATCTTATGTGATGAGAAGTTAGTCTAGGCCGCAACTTTTGCATAATTATGAAATCCTCGACGAAAATTCGTGGGTCGCTCAGCATTTCTTCAGAGGAGAAAAATTCACCTGGTACCTTGAGCGTAGTGCCGTACACTAATTCCGCTACCGAAACGCCTAGATCTTCTTTGAGACAAGTTCTCAGTCCTAGTAATACTGGCAGTGTATCAGTCCATTGAGTTTCACCGTGACACATTAATGCTGTTTTTAGAGAGCGATGCAATCGTTCGATGATGCCATTAGACTCCGGGTGGTATGCAGTTGTCCGACAACGTTTAGAGCCAATGAGTTTGGTTAATGTGTCGAACAGCTGCGCTTCGAATTGCGAACCTTGATCGGTCGTGATCAAGCGTGGAGCTCCGAATCTGGCTACTCAGTGAGTGAAAAACATCTTCGTCACCGTGTTTGCTATACAATCCTGTAATGGAATAGCCTCCGGCCAACGAGTAAATCGGTCAATCATTGTTAATAAATACCTGAAACTTTTGGATGGAGGTAGAGGATCGACGATATCGATATGTACATGCTCGAAACGAGTATCTGGTACTGGTATTTTAGTATTTAGTGGGGTGTAGTTATGACGATGAATTTTAGATTGTTGGCATGCTAGACAAGTGCGGAGCCACTCTTTAATATCCTTAGATATGGAAGGCCATACAAATTTGCGCAATTTGCCGGTGAGTTGCTCTGCCGCTTGGATGCGACATTTGATGCACCATGTCGAAAACTCACCTTCGTAGTGGTCCAGGAATATAAGGTCTGATTTCTTGTTCTGAAGTGTCACAGTAAATATTGGATGCTGTTTCCGACAAGGTGAACTTTTTGAGCTTCAAAGACGTTGATGGGGATTGCTTCAGTTGCTGCAACTCATCATCCGAGGCTTGAGCTTCTGCAATCTCCTGCATATTGAGACTAGTTGGTATCACGATAGTGTCGGCGCGAGATAATGCATCTGCTACAATGTTATCGGCGTATGCGCCTGAAACGTGACGTACACACGTGACGGTTGTGAACTCTGAAATGAAGATGACGAGAGCAGATGTCTTGTCGACGTTTGTTCTGACTTCTTCTTGAATGCATAAATGAGGGGTTTATGATCCGTGATAACGTGAAAATTTCGTCCCTCTAACATATATCGAAAATGTTTGATAGCCGCATAGATAGCTAGTTCTCCATCATATGCACTATATTTTGTTTGTATAGGCGTGAGTTTCCTTGAAAAGAAGCTGAGTGGTTGTAGAAATCCGTTGCTGTACTGTTGCAATACCGCCGATTGCTTTGTCTGAGGCGTCTGTTTGCAACGAGAGTATTGCATTGCTGTCTGGAAATGCGAGCGAGGTGTTCCTTGAGCGAGATGTTCCTTGACTCGTTGAAAGGATTGTTTGAGCTCAGAAGTCCACTCGATTTTCGCATTGTTGTTGCGTTTACGCCCAGAAATTACTTTTAGCAATGGTGCCTGTATGCTTGCGATATTCTTCAGAAATCGGTTGTAAAAATTGAGCATTCCTAGAAATCGTCGAAGTCCTTTTTCAGTAGCTGGTTCCTGGAAATCGATAATTGCTTGAACCTTTTCGGGCAAGGGCTTGATGCCTTCGGCGCTGATCACATGTCCGAGGAAGTTGACACTCTTCTGCCTGAACACGCATTTATTCGGATTGATCGC